CACTCGAGCCAAGGATTACCAACATACCAGTCAGCTGGAATGGACGCCTGTGCGTCGGTAAAAGCCGCTTAGGTGCAAGGGCTCACTGGACTTGGACTCAGCAATATCGGCGGGTACCTCGCCACTCGGGTTACCAGCAGGCCTAGCGCGCTTAGAGCCTTCCAAAGGCTCGTGACCTTCACGGACGCGCTTCATCATCACGGCAAAGGCAGATTGAGCAGAGCTGGATGAGGAGGACATTTCGCAAGTTTACAATGGAGTACTTTAAGTCTCAATGAACACGCACGCATGTACATTGCGCAATCTACACGCATGCGCAGTAACATTTTTTAATAAATGGTAATTTCGGAGTGAAACTTTCCAAAACGAAAAAATAAAAGAATTTAGTAGGACCCTCTGTGGTCTTAGCTCGCCCCTATCCTGCCCCCCCTGGCGCACAGGACGAGATACGCCACTGGAGAGGTGTTGGATGTTGATCTAGATGAGACTCGACCGTTTTCTAGGCACTGGCAGGTAGCCCGCTATGGCTCAGGTGAATTTTCTCTAGGGCACATACTTTGCAGGAACAATGATTCGTGTTTTGGGTCGTAGTGGATTGCCTATCAGCTGGCCCTGGGTCAGCCTATTCGACAGGGAATGGGAGCACCCACTACCGATGTAAAGATGATGAACCTTAACTGCGCTATATCCATGACCATCGGTGTGTTACTGGCATCCATACGTGGGCGCCTGCTTATGCAACGAGTCGAGTTAAAGTATGTTTAAAATCTGCCATGACCGATACGTGCTGTCTTCCTAGCAATTCGACGATGACATCCCATCACCTTGGTGGATTATAAAGCTAGATGTCATCCACGGGCAGTTTTGGGGCATTTTCGACTATCTACTGTGTCACAGCGTATCGATCTTAGCCGGAGTGCAGGATGAGTCGAATCATACGACTGATCATGCACTCGAGCCATGGTCGTTGACGTTAGACTCGAATGGTATAGATCGTCCTGCAATAATTGATAACCACCAACGTAGAGTTTCCTCCTCGTGCTTGTTCTATCATCACCGTTGATGTCTGCCCTTATCGGAAAGACTCTGCTCACACAAGACGGCACCAAAGTGAAGGCTGATGATGTGCTCGCTGGGAAAGAGAAGATTGCCTTGTACACCGTGCGTTGTTGTCAGTGGGATTCTCAGTGGTCTGAGGTTCAGGTACTTCTCGGCTCACTGGTGCCCCCCTTGTCGCAAGTTCACTCCCATACTAAAGGAGTTCTACGAGGTTTGTGGCCCTTGTAGTTCGGCAGCCCCAAAAGGGCATTATGTTAGGAAGTGAAGGAAGAGGACGGCGAGGACAAGTTGGAGATCATATTTATATCTAGTGACAACTCCGAGGAGGAACAGGTAGGCGGCCAACACTATGCTGGTATCTTCTTCATAGTGCGCAGGTGGAGTACCACAAGGAGGACCATGGGGACTGGCTGAGAGTGCCATACAGTGATGTTGAGACCAGAGATGCTCTTAAGAAGGAGTTTGGTGTGTGTGCGGGGATCGAGAAGGAGAATCTGGGCATCATCAATGACGACCATAAATCAGGCATACCCTGCCTTCTTGTGGGAGGACACGTCCGAGTTGCTGTTGTTGACGGTGATTGGACTCAGGTATTGGACGAGGACAAGCGGAGTGTGAAGGTCTTCGATGGCGTGAATGACGTCAAGACGATGGGCCCAGTAGCCGTCGATATGAAGTGGTGATAACACCTCCTTTGCAGTTGCATGTAGCCGGTTTAATACCACCAGGCTAGTTACTATGTGTTGTTGTTGTTGTCATAGGGGGAGTAGCATGAGTAGTAGTTGCCACACATGGTCCTCATGTATAATGTCATTTGAGTTATCGGTCTCCACCTCCTCGTTCACGGTCTCATCATCAACAGCAGCAGGAGGAGCTCTGCCGCGTGTGGTAGCTGCCGTACCAAAGGAGTGTGAGGGCATACGAGTCGATGGAGATAAGATCCATTATAGAGGCCTGAGGTACATGAGGCACAGTCGGCTCTCTCAATAGATTCGGGTCTTGGGGTATGAATGAGCTCCGGTCGGCGGCTTGTCTCGCTGTTGTCGTTTGCCGCACCACGTCTGTGGCAGTTACCCCTTCCATGGAGTCATCGAGGATCCCGAGACGTCCTCTCCTGGAGACCTCTATGAGCGGACATTCGCAGACCTGGTCACAGCAGCAGCTGGGGCTAGACGAGGGGCCCTACTCCTTGTCATCGGCTCTACCACACTTGGAAGGAGACTATTGGACCAACTTGGGGCGCAGGCCCTCGAACAGAGCAGGTCGACGCAGGTCTCAGTAGAAGTATACGAGACGGCTCGAGATGGAACCACGATGGGCCAGCTTGTCGAGAAGACCATCTGTGAGAGCCCCGAAGACGTCCTCACGTGCATGTCCCTGGGACGGAGCTTGATGTCGTCGCCGTACAGCGACCTCTGTAGCGTCATCACATTCCACGGCGGTTCAGCTACGGTCATCAATTCATCGTGTCAATCTCTCGGCTCTTTCATATTCCCTTCCTTGATCCGTACCATACCTTCCATAACTCACACCTGCTTGCTCCTATGCTTGCCTACCATCGTGTCACACCCCGAAGGGCTCGAGAGAGATCTAAAAAGAGCACTGGCCCTGGTCGGGAGACGGCCGTTGGATGCCGATCAGGAGCTGGAGGCTCTTATAGTCGCCTGGGAGACCAAATATGGTCTGGACCGGGGTGAGCAGGCTGGCAGAGTTGGAAGGCTGCGAGCTGTTGAGGAGAAGCTCAGTGATGAAATTGATGAGATAACGGAGCAGTGTGAGAGGCACCGTAGGAGGGTCAGCGTCCTTAGCGACCGACTCAGCGAGGTAGCACAGTTCGGTGTGCTCTCTGGTGGGAGGGACAAGGATGAAGGTGAGCACTGCCTGAGTCCTGCTGGAGATTCGGTAGGCTTCCAACTGCAGTCACAAGGCAGGAGTTGGCCGAGAGCCGACAGGCCCGCAAGGAGTTGGCGGCGAAGTTGGACGAGCTGGAGGGGGTCAAGACCGAGATAGAGGCTGACAGGGACCGTCTGGTATCGAGCAGGCCTGTCTCTGGTCCCTCAGTGAGAGTTAGTTATGTCAGGCGGTTGAGGCAGGGGCGCAGAGACGTGCCAGTGACAAGCTGAGGGAGGAAGTCACCAAGTATCGACGTTCCTTGGAAGCCATGCAGCAGCAAGTCGGTGGTCCAAGCCGTGCCCTCCCATAAAGAGTGCTTTCAGATGGCCATGGACACAGGGGCTCGAGCAGCTGAGGAGACTAAGCTCATAGAGGAGCTCGAGAAGGCGAGGGGACAGGTAGGTCAATGCCTCCTCACCTTCCCGACGGTCAGAGTATCAGACTGCCAAGGCCGAGTCAGCCCTAGAGGAGGCCGAAAAAGCGCATCGCTCCGCTGTAGACCAAGCCGAGGCCCTCAAAGTAGATCTAAGCACCAGTAGAGGGCGCGTGATGGACCTCGAGAGCCAGGTGAGAGCTTTTACGAACGATACGCTAGTTTCTACTCTCTGCTACTATTTCGTCGCCAAGCTATGAGACTCTTCCTTCTCAGCTATCAAAACAGTCCTGTAGCTTCCAGAAGACCATCGAGGATATTCGCCGAGAGCACGAGCTGGTCAGGACTGAACTAGAGGCTGAGATCCAGTTGTTGAGGCGTGAGGTAAGCTGCTGCGTCCCGGCACAAGGGACACATGTTCATACAGGTAGATGAACACAACAGGAGCTTAGTAGCAGCTGCGGACAAGGCAAGTCAGCTGGAGGGCACGGTCCGAAAGCTACGAGAGGAGGTGTTGGGATGATCAGCTGCTCCTTCGAGTGGCCGAGTGGTGGTGTCAGGGCTCCAATATAGTGGAGGAAAACAACCAGTATCGCCTCCGAGTGGACGGGCTTGTCCAGCGAGTTGCCGAGCTCACTCAGCTCTGGCAGGAATCGGAGGCCTTAAGGGAGGATGAAGGCCAGCGGTTGAGGGTGAGGGGGGCAGGGGACTAGCAAAGGGCCATGCAGTTCGGTCAGGCCGCGCTGAGGTTAGCGGATGAGAAGTCCCACGACCTTGACGTGGTCACTGCTGAGGTCATAGCCCTTCGTAGTGAGAAGAACTCTCTTGTGGAGGTAGTGGGCATCAGTGACACCCTGTTTTGGCTCTCTGCTGACCTCTAGGAGCTCTCACGCTTGCATACTGCGGAGGAGGCCTCAGGGGATGCTGACTTGTCGTCTAAGGAGGACCTGGCTCTAGCAAGGACGGATGGGATACCAATGACGAGTCTATCGTGGGCTAGTCGAGATATCACTATGGAGGTGGGGGTAGTGCCCACCAACAGTTGAGGACCATCACGCTCAGCTCGAAGAGGCTCACCATAGGATGAAGGCGGAGATCGTCGAGTTGACTGAGGCGCTAGCAGTCGCTGAAAGGGCGGCTCTCGAGGCGCAAGAACAACAGGCCTTGACCTGTCGACTGCCCTTGGTGCAGCGAGAGTTGCTGGATAGAAGGACTAATTGGTGCCAGACGGACATTGCTGGCTGCAAGCTGAGGCTGCCGGAGCCCTCCAAGAGCTTCGATGATTTCATCAGCCAACAGGTCCGGGTTCTGCACTTAGCCTTCCTGCTCTATCTAATGCAGGTTGTCGCTGCAGCGAGTTGCGTAGAGAAAGAGCTCCTAGGTAGGATCCACTTCCTCGAGACTGCTTCTGAACGGGCCCACATGAGTAGCGAGGACTATAAGGAGAGGTGACTGCATGTATTGTGCGAGGCGTGAGTGGACGCGCTGAGTCTCAGGGCTCGTCGTGCTGAAGCATCTCGAGTGGAGCTCCTGGGGAACTTACTGGAAGCGGATGAGAAGGCAGGGCAGCTGCAACGAGAGATGGAGGAGTAAGGCCTCACCTACTGGCGCGGAAGGGGGGTCCTCATTATCTATTTAATGCACCATGCGTGATTCGTTTGACCTAGCCTTCCTGTTGATCGCTGTTCGAATTCGCCCCATTTGAAACTGGACATGATTGTCGAATACTTTACTGGGTGAGTGTTCAGGAGTGTATATAAGTTGGCTCTGGTCGAGGGGGATAACAAGAAGCTCCGCGATGAAGTGTTCGCTGTTATCGAACGTCTGAAGACTACTGAGGAGCTTCACAAAGAGGAACTAGCGTGTGGCGCCGAGCAGATGGTGCGTCCTCCTACTGGATAGAAGTCGCCCAGGTACTTGACTGAACACGACTCTAAGGCATTGAGGGGCATCATTGCATCAAGAGAAGGCCGACTACTAGAAATGGAAACTACTCGGCTAGAGGCAGCAGCGTGGGAATACTACCTGTCGACCTCAAAGTTGAACTAGGGCTTTTATTACTCAGTAACGCTGCTGCTGTTCGTGAGAGAGATACAGTGGTGGGAGTACTACGAGAGGAATGCGACAGGCTGAAGGGCGAAGTACAGGATTTACGCTCTGATAATATGTAGCTACTCTCGAGTGCTTCTCCGAGATGAGTTCCGGCAGATCCTTGACCGCTCAGCTCGAGAAAGTCTCCAGCAGTTTGCATCGTTCGGAGCACGAGAGCAGACAGAACTTGTAAGGGCTCGTCGCTGATATTCATCTATGAATCTGTCGTTCAAGACAGTACATGTGATAACCGTTCATTGCGATCTACTGACAGTAGCCTACTGTGTGTATTATCCGGACCTCAGGAAGTAGGATGAGGTATTGCCCGGAATTTGCTTCCTCAGGACTCAGCAAATAACTGGCTACGAAGAGGTTATCGCCTCGTTGAAAGCTCGCTGTGACGACCTGCAGAAGTGGGGGGAGAATCTACGTTTGTCAACGTAACGGTCTTCTACGTAGGGGCTCTGATGAGCGTATACGAGGAGAAGTGAGTAGCATGCAAGATGAGCTGGCTTCGATGAGACAAGAGTTGTTGGAGTCCTCAAGGCTGTTGGCTGAGCAAATCTCCCGGAGGTGGGCGTTGAGCTGATCCAATGTGATGGTGACACGGTCGTCTCTAGCGCTTTGCTAACGGGTGGCTATGAAGTCGTCATTGCTGAACTGAGGGCCCGCTGTGGAGAGCTGGAGGGCCTAGTGGAGAGGTAAGCAACAGGCAAGGGGTATTCACTAGAAATAGCCCCATCGTGCTGCCCATGTTTGTTCCTTGAAGTTTCGCTTCGTTTGATTTTACATTGGAGTGGTATGGAGATCGAATAAATATCTCGTTCCAACGCTATTATGTTTCCCATAAGGTTGACTGACAGCAGTATAGTCGGTTGATCTTCCATGTTTTCTATACAGGGTGCAAGCGGCACGTTCCGAGGAACTTCGAGGAGCTCCCAACGATAGTAGGATTTCCGGGGTCGCTGACTCCAACAAGGCTGAGATGATTAAAGAGCCAGAGATGATTAAAGAGCCAGAGATGCTCCGTGAGGGAACGACGAACATGTGGGTGTTCACATTTCTAGAGACGACGAATCTCTGTGTGCGAAAGCACGCCCCCGTAGCGCAAGCTTTAGAGCTACCGCAACACGTGCTGTGGAGGACGGCAAAGCGACGTCGCTAGTTCAATCCCCGGTCGGGTCGTCGATCCTGGAAAGCGTCATTGAAGAGATCACACCATGCGGGTGGTATACCTCATCTGGCGATCCCTACGGCTTCCCTCTTCGATGCTCATATCAAGCACATACACGAGATCTACTGAGGGTGTTTGATTTCTGGACTGTTTTCAGCCCCATTTCATCAGCTAAAGAATCGATGGCTCTCGTTGAGTTGCAGACCCAACGAGCCGAAGGGCTGTCTATGGCGTTGGAGGATATC